ATGTTAACTCTTATGTACAGACCCCTACCTCACACCATCTGCGGAAAAAAACACACACAACCAAACACCAAAAAACCCCACAAAACACACACACAAAAACAAACAACAACAACAACAACACACACAAAACAAAAAAAAAAAAAAAAACACCCAAAAAACTCAAAGTGAACCAAATACCTAACTGTAAGAGCTAACACTATGCAACTCTTAGAAGAAAACATAGAGGTAATTCTTATGACCTTGGACTTAGATATGTCTTCAAAAGCACAACCAACGGAAAAAAATACATAAATTGGACTGCATCAAAATTAAAAATATTTGTGCAGCAAATGACATCATTAAGAAAGTAAAGTGGGAGAAAATAGTCAAAATCACACATCTGATAAGACACTTTATCTAAAGATATAAGAAACTCTTACAACTTGAAAATAAAAAGGTAGCTTGGCTGGTGTGGCTCAGTAGTTGAGTGTCGATCCATGAACCATGAATCTTGAAGAGATCGCCAGTTCAATTCCTGGTCAGGCACAGGTTTTGGGCCTGATTCCCATGGGGGTGTGCAAGAAGCAGACAATCGGATGTTTCTACCTCTCTATCCCTCTCCCTTCCTCTCTCTCTAAAATAAAATATTTTAAAAAAGAAACAAAAAGGCAAAGAATCCAATTTAAACAGGGGCAAAGGATTTGAATAGACATTTTTCTCCAAAGAAGATGTATGAATGGCCAACAAGCACACGAAAAGATGCTCAAAATCATTAGTCCTCAGGGAACTGCGGATCAAAACCACAATGAGACACTACTGCACACCCAGTAGAGGGTTATAATAACAATTAAAACAAAACAAACAAACAAACAAAAAGAGAAACAGCAACTACTGCTGAGGATGTGGAATAGTAGAGCCCTCATACATGCTGGTGGAATGCAAAATGGCATAGCCATGCTGGAAAACAGTCTGCAGGTCCCTCCCTCAAAGGATCAAACAGAATTACCAAGTGCCAGCAAATCTACTCCAAGGTATTACCCAAGAGAAATGAAAACATAGGTCCACACAAAACATTGACAAATGTTTATAGCAGCTTGTTCATAACAGCCAATAAATGGAAACAACCCAAGTGCCTGACAACTGATGAATAAACAAAATGTTGTATATCTACTCAGTGCAATAAAACTCAACCATAAGCTCTGACCAGTTTGGCTCAGTGGATAGAGTATTGGCCTGGGGACTGGAGGGTCCCCCAGGTTCGATTCCAGACAAGGGCATGTACCTTGGTTGTGGGCACATTCCCCAGTAGGGAGTGTGCAGGAGGCAGCTGAGACAATGTTTCTCTCTCATTAATGTTTCTAATTCTCTCTCCCTTTCCTTTTGCCTTTCTCTCTGTAAAAAGTCAATAAAATATATTAAAAAACACACATACACCTTAAGTTAAAAAAAGAATCAACCATAAGAATGAATAAGGTGATTTCCAACATGGATGAATCTTGAAAATATTATGCTAAGTGAAAGATGCCAGTCACAGAAGACCACACATTATGATCCCATTTATAGGAAATGCCCAGAATAGGAAAATCTGTAGACAGAAAGTAGACTGGTGGTTTCTTAGGGCTGTGGGGGAAAGGTAGGGAAGGGGTGGTAGGTAAAGATTATAGTATTTTACTTTGTGATAAAGTTGTTCTAATTTTGACTGGTGATGGTCACACATATCTTGAATTATACTGAAAACCAATTTTATTGTAGGTGAAGTATCTATAATAAAAAAAACATAATATGCTAATTAGACTGGACAGCCGAATGACCTTCTGGACGACCTTCCAGATAAAGCTGGGGCTTCGAGGGCTGAGGCAAGCAGCCATGGCTGTGAGGGCTGAGCCCCTTGCACAAATTTTGTGCACCGGGCCTCTAATGTCTCAATAATGCTGTTAAAGGTAATTTTTAAAATAATCAAGATTAAGTAAGTATATTTTTACTCACTTAGCAAAGATTTAAAAATGATTGTCCCAAGTACCAAACAGAGTATGTGATAAGCAACGATGCATATAAACGGGGTTAGCAAACAAAAAACCTTTCAAAAACATGGTAGAAAGCCTAAAACAACATCAACAACCTAAAAAAATGCTCATCCCTACAAATTTCAGTTCTGAGAATCTATTCTAAACAAATACTCATATGAGGAAAATTTATAATGCACAAAGGATTATTTTTTATTATTTTTAAAATTTATCTTTATTGTTGAAAGTATTACAGATGTCCCCTTCCCTTTGCCCCCATTGACCCTCTCCATCCTGCTCCTGCCCCCTCCCCACGCCTTCACCATACTGTTGTCTGTGACAAAGGTTTATTTATTTATTTAAAAAATATTTTTATTGCTTTCAGAGAGAAAGGGAAAGGGGGAGAGAGAGAGATAGAGACATCAATGATGAGAGAGAATCATTGATCGGCTGCCTTCTGCACAACTCACACTGGGCATGTGCCCTGACTGGGAATCCAACTGTGACCTCCTGGTTCATAGGTTGACACTCAACCACTGAGCCACATCATTGATGTTGCTATATCTCTCTCCCTCTCCCTTCCTTTCTTTAAAAATCAATAAAAATATTTTTAAAAAATCAATAAAAACACATATTTTAAAAATTTTTAGCAAATAAAGGTAAAATATATACTCTGAAAACTACACAGCGTTATTGGAAGAAAATAAAGGAGACCTAGCCTGGCTGGTGTGGTGCAGGTGACTGAGCATCGTCCTGTGCACCAAGAGTTCAATAGTTGGATTCCTGGTCAGGGCACATGGCTGGGTTTAAGGTTCAATCCCCTGCAGGGGTGTGTCTAGTGATCTCTCTCTCTCTCTCTCTCTCTGTGCTTAGTGATGTTTCTCTCTCTCTCTCTCTCTCTCTCTCTCTCTCTCTCTCTCTCTCTCTCTCTCTATCTATCTATCTATCTATCTATCTATCTATCTATCTATCTACCTACCTACCTACCTATCTACCTATCTATGTATCTATCTATCTATCTATCTATCTATCTATCTATCTATCTATCTATCAGATGCCCCTTGCAGGAAGATTCCTGCAATAGGGCTTCCTGCTGCGGTCTCAGTTGCCCCGCTGGCTTCTCTCCCTTCTCCCTGCCCCGCCTGCTTCCCTGCCCTCTCCAGCGACCTCCTTGCTTGCTTGCTTCTCTGCAACTTGGCTTCTTTCTATGCTGCTCTGGCGTGGATATGCAAATCAACCGCCATCTTGGTTGGGTTAATTTGCATACTTGTCCTGATTGGCTGGTAGGTGTGGTTTGTGGGTGTAGCAAAGGTATGGTCAATTTGCCTGTTTCTCTTTTATTAGAGAGGATATGTATTTAAAAAGTTAGTCACTTTATAAAAAATACTAAGTAAAAGTACTTGTATACATAGATATAGCAAATATGATAGAGGTAGTAACAGTGAAATATGGGAAACATTGCTAAGCCCACATCAGTTACTTGAAATATAACAATCTGTGCATTTTACTGTACATAAATTGTACCTAAAAAAGGACTGTACAACCTGACCAGTGAGCCTCAGTAGTTGAGCATCGACCTATGAACCAGGAGGCACATGCTTGGGTTGCAGGCTTAATCCCTGGTGGGGATCTTCCACTTAAGAGTGTGCTTTTCCACTTAAGAGTCAGCCTTTCCATACTTCTTCTAGTTCTGTGCAGCTACTATGCCCTCTCTTGCAAGAGCATCTAAAGAAAATGGGTCAAGTCTACGGCCATACCACCCTGAACGCGCCCAATCTCGTCTAAAGAAAATGGGTCAATTTCCTTTTTTTTTTTGTCAATTCCCTTTTGATAAATAACAACAAATCCTTTATCTGCGTTTCCACAGGATTTCCTTTTTCGGTTCTACTATTTTTAAACTCTATCTTCAATGAATTTTCCTTCAGATTTTACTGGTTTCTCTCTTCTGCACTCTTGTAAAAAAAAAAAAAAAAAGCCAGAATTTACTTATTTTTCATATTCTATTGACACATTGCATTTGAGGATGTTTGCATCTACCACTCTCATGCCAGGATTCCATGCCCACTGACCAAAACAAGACCTCTGATGAAGCCTGTATCCAAGATCTCAACCATTAAGAGGTCAATAGGTTCATCTTGTTTTTTTTTAATGGTCAAAATGGAGTCAGAGAGAGAGAGAGAGAGAGAGAGAGAGAGAGAGAGAGGGAGAGAATGAGAATGGGAACAAGAATCTCTTTGCTTACTTTGACTTGTTCTAAAACCTGAAGTACCTTTTCCTTTGCAGCTTCCAATCCATGTTATGATTCTGGGATGAGACCTTCAGACATGTAGACGCCCCTGTTTTAGCTGTTCTCCAGTGATTAGGACCCTGGAAATGGTACCATCGCCTGGGCCGTTTCTACTTTGGCTATCAAGGAGACTGTTGGGTACTGAATTTGCATTTCATGAAGCAGCACTTGCCATCTTAGTAAGCTTGATATCTCTAGCTCTAGAAACAAGCATCTTCATGGTGCCTCTGGGCCCCAAGGTGGTCCTCAGAATGTCCTACAGCCTCCAGGCTGTGCTGATGTTAACCACCAACACTGTCTGGGCTCGGGCCACCTCAGCCTTGGGGTGTAAGGTCTTCACCGCTGACCAAGCAGGAGTAAAAGACCCAGCGTGAAGAGTGCCAAAGCCAGCTCCCAGCCTCCTACGTGGAAGTGCGTTACAAGAATAAGATGGACTGATGGAGAGCTGATGCAGCTACAGCAAAGGGACCATTGTAGAAGCCAGGCAGTAGCCATATGAGTACTCACTGCACAAATTCTTCCAGCTTCCCTGCATGTTTGAAACTTACATGCTGGAGAAAAATGTGTACAGACTTCCTCATAGCGAGTGAGCGGATTAATAAGCCTGGAAGACTAGGCATAAATCTGCTGAAATGTTGTCTTTTTACTCTCCTGTATATATTCCAAAGTGGGCTGGTATTACTTTTATAATAAAAAAAATTTTTTTTCCAAGAAGGAAAATGGCACCAGAATCAATGGATAAATATAGGCATTTATTCCGAGGGCATAATTCCAAGAAAGTCCCAGAGATCAGCGTGGAGGGGGAGAAAGTGGCCGCCCCTTGACCAGGGGGGACGGAACCCAGCTTCTCTAAAACCCCGCTGTGCAGGGAAGTCCAGGGGCAGAGCTCATGGCTGGGCCCTGGGCTGTGGGCCCGGGGTCGGCCTGCCCATCTGTCAGGTCCCCAGAAGCCCAGTGTCAGGGGAGGTGGCAGAGGAGGTCGTGCAGGGGCAGGGCCGTGAGCCCTGACAGGGAGATCCCCAAGGTGTCCGAAATACAGGTGGTTGTCATGGCAAACTCCCGGTGCTCGTCACTGGTCTGGGGGAGGGAAGGCAGAGAGCAGGGGTGAGGCTTCCGTTCTCCACACCCCTGCCCTGGCTCGCTCCCCAGAGAGGCCGCCACAGCCCTCGCCTGGCCGGTGCTGACCTCCAGGGCGACGTTGTGGAAGGTGTTCACGTAGGCGGCACCCCCCAGGAGCCCCTCGTACAGAATGATCAGGAAGACGAGGTAGATGCTGGGCAGGAAGTTCAGCCACACGTGCAGCAGCAGGAAGACCAGGTTGAAGCACTGTGGGTGCAGGTGGGGGGCAGGGCTGAGCCTGGACTCGCGGCAGGAGAAGGGAGGCTGCCATCCCGCCAGTGGCCCCAGTTCCTGGAGACACTGATGAGGGAGGGCTGGCAGCGGGGGTGGAATCCCAGCATCCAGCTGGCCCACTGGACTGTGGGATCTGGGTCAGCCCTTCTCTCTCCCCTCCCCCAGCACCCAGACCTCGAGGGTCTCCTCTCTGGCCCCTTTGCTCACGGCACCCCTACTTCCTGGAACGCCATTCCACCTCCCCTCACGTGGGGTCCCTTTGCCACTGTCCAAAGCTCAGCCTGGACCAGGGCCACTTACTCCTGTGACGCTTTCCTCCTCCCAGGGGCTCCCTGAGCAGTGCCCCCCATAGAGGCTACCCTTAGACCAGCGGTTCTCACTGGGGCTGGGCTTGCTGCCCACAGGACGACTGACAATGTCTGGAGATCTTGGTTGTCATAACTGGGAATGGAGGCTGCTATTGGCATCTAATGGGTGGAGGCCAGAGGGGCCGGACAGCCCACCACAAACAATGGTGGGGCCCAGCGCTGAGGCAGAGACACTCTGGCTTAGCTGTTGCCAGCTCATTTAGGAAGCCTCTCTGACCCCACCCAAGGGTGTAGGTCCCTCCTTGGTGCCCCGGCCCCTCAGGGGACCCCAGTGTCCCATCCTGAGTGCAGGGCTGTCACCACAGCAGTTCACGGTTTGATGCACAGGAGGGTCACCCACAGGCCTCGCCCTCAGAGGTCCTAATTCATCCCGTCTGAGCGAGGCTCAGAAATCTGCATTGAAAAGGACACACTCTGATAATACCAACGTGACCTATGAAACACTGCAAACACTTCCATCTGCAGCGTTCGGCTACACGCTTTCCGTAATGGAATGAAATGCTTACACGCCCCTATTTCTACAAAGCAGCCTTGGCTGACATTATAACTAAAATCATAAACTCCATGTCGGCAGCATCTAATGAAGAACCCCGAGTTAAGATGTATTAACACAACAATTTAGGCCTTTGGAGCTACCAAGCCTTCGGCTGGCAGTACTGCTTCATAAATAAAGGAGAAAGAAAGCTAGAGGATACTGGCATGCTGGTGCCATAATGTTCAAGTGTAATCTATATTTATTATAGATCTTGTTATGGATTTAAGTACATTAAAAAGGGCAAAGGACATTCCTATCGTAATTGAAAGTTTACCTTGATAGTTACCTACAGGGCTGCAGAAAGAATACATGCTGATTAAGTAAAAGTACTTTTCTTAGCCCGGCCAGAGTGGCTCAGTGGTTGGAATGTCATCCTGTGCACCAAAAGGTTGCAGGGGCAGGTTGGACCCCGGTCCAAGAACATACAGAAGACAACCAATCAGCGTTTCTCTCTCACACTGATTTTGTTTCTCTCTCCCTTCCTCTCTCTGAGCAAATCCTTGGGTGAGGATTTAAAAAAAAATTATTTTAGTTAGACTGTTGTAGGGAAAGGTGTTTGTTTTCTTAAAGCTGTAGATTACTTTTGTCGTGGGTAGTTGAACTTGCTCACCAGCCTTGAGATATACAATCTGTTGGGTACAATGTCACTGATCCTATATAACAAAAGGCTAATATGCAAATTGACTAAGTGGTGGAACAACCGGTCACCATGACACGTACTGACTACCAGGGGGTAGATGCTCAATGAAGGAGCTGCCCCCTGGTGGTCAGTGCGCTCTCACAGGGGGGGTGCCGCTCAGCCAAAAGCCGGGCTCACGCAGCAGCAGTGGTGGTGGTGGTGGTGGTGGTGGTGGTAGCCTCTTCCTCCTCCAAGGCAGTTCTAAGGATGTTCAACTACTGGCTTAGGCCTGCTCCTCACCTAAGCCGTCAGTGGATATCCCCCGAGGGCTCCTGGACTGCTCGAGTGCACAATTTTGTGCACCAGGTCTCTAGTCTACCTAATAGAAGAGTAACATGCTAATTGACCATACCTTCGTGACACCCACCAGTAAACCAGGAGTATGCAAATCAACCCAACAAAGATGGTGGCTTAATTTGCATATGCAGGCACCCAGCGGCTGGGAGTGGGTTGGGACGCTTGTGTTGTCATCATGGCAGCGACAACGCAGGCATTCTGTACCACCCACAACCGCTCCGGGCCTCTAGGCAGTGTAGGAAGGTGGAAAGGCGGCTCTGGCCAGAGTGAAGGTGGTGTCGATAGCCAGGGAAAGGAAGGCCCATTCAGGCACCAATCTTCATGCACCACGCTTCTAGTTCTATTATCATTAACCACGCAGAGTAAAAGAACTGCATTTTCTTTTGTTGGAATGTTATTTGAAGGCCTGTGGCTCTGCATGAGGCTTGTGCAAACAATCAGGACGTAAGTAATTCTACCTGATTGAGACACAATATAAAGTCTTATTCTTTCATTCCTCTTCTCATCTCTATTTCTTTTTATAAATATATATATATATTATTGATTTTTTATAGAGAGGAAGGGAGAGAGATAGAGAGCTACAAACGTCGAAGAGAGAGAAACATCGACCAGCTGCCTCCTGCACATTTGCCCACAACCAACATACATGCCCTTGACCGGAATCGAACCTGGGACCTTTCAGTCCGCAGACTGACGCTCTACCACTGAGCCAAACCGGTTTCGGCTCATTTCTATTTCTTACAACTACTCTGAGAAGTAGATGGTGGCCATGCCTGATTTCAGAATGAGGAAACTAGAAACTGGTTTGGAGACCTGCCCTATGTCTCACAGCTGCTGAGTACAGGAGCTGGGATCTACATCAGCTTCGCCTGGCTCCAAGGACACACTGCAGACGCAGCCCTGCTGGCCTTCTGTTCCTGTGCATGGGGAAGCGGGAGCGAAGGGGGGATGGAGTGGGGGCCAGGGGCCTTGTACCTGCAGCAGGGCCAGGGTCCATGTGAAGCGGATGTGAAAGCAGCGAAGAGAGGAGCGGGAGGCAAAGACGCCGGCTTGGTACAGCATCTGGTACCTGAGATAGGGGCAGGGAGGAGGAGGAAGCCCTCCGGTGCCTGCTCACATGACAGCCCCTCCCTGCCCCAGGCCCGCCCACAAACAGCCCATCCTGCCACCCTCCTCGCTGCTCTCACCAGCGGTACTGCTGAGCGTGATTCAGGGATGTGTTCCGGAAGAAGAGGAGTTCAAACTGCAGCAAAAACCCGACAGGGGAGATGAGCGGGGACACGTGGGTCTCCACCTCGATCTCTATCCCCACTCCCGGTGCCCTCACTCACAAGCCCCTGGTTGATGAAGTACTCGGCAAAGTAAACCAGGATCAGCGGGAGGATGTAATACTGCAGGCCCTGGAGGAGCCAGAAGACACAACGTACGTGGCAGGCTGGGAGACGGCACTGGCCACAGGCGCGGACGGGCCCCAGCCCCCGTGCATACCTTGAACACAGTCCACTTCTCATGAAGGGAGAGGCCTGAGCTGGAGTCTGCAGAGGAGCAGGAAGAGAAGGGCACGTGAGGTTGGCATACGGGCTCCGCCAAGGGGTGCTGCTAGGAGAGAATCAACCCGCCAACACGGAATTGTACAGTGACAACGGTTAAACTGGGAACTTCGTGTTATGTGCATTTCACCATGGTTAGAGACAAGGCCTCTTCCCGGCTCCTGCACAGTTGGGTGGCTGTCCATCTCCACCCCAGCCACACTGGCCCCTTCTTTCTGCTTCTTGAACATCCAGGCTCGTTCCCACAGCACTTGCTGCTCCCTCCACCTGGAGCCTGTCCACGGGGCTGATGCCTTGTCAATCAAATTTTAGCCCAATGACACCTCCTCAGAGAGTCCTTCACGGACCACCTTGTCTAAGCAGAACTCTCCATTTCCCCCAGTTGTCATTTTCTAGCGCATCACTGCTTTATGTCCTCCCAGCACTTCCCAATACGTGAAAAGCACGTTTCTGATTCAGCTGTTTACGAGCCGGCCTCATTTCCTTATCGTACTCACCACCCACCCCCGTGACTGGAGGGTCTGGCTCAGAGTCAGTACCCAAGGAGCATATCCTGACTCGCTAACGTGGCCGGCTCTCAGGCATCCCCGTCCCCTCCCACGGTGCACTGTGGGGAGGAAGGCTAAATCTGAGGATCTCCCGCGTCTCCAACCTGGCTTCCGCTCCGGGGCCTCGGGGTCTTCGCCGCTTATCAGGGGCTGCCGAGCCGCCCTCTCTGCCTCTTCTTCCCCTCCAGGGTCCTGGGGCTCGGGCGATGTGAGCAAAAAGAAATAGCTGGGAGCAGGTGAGAGGAGAGAAGGCCAAGAGCCTCGGTCAGCAGTCAGCGGGAGGGGCACCCCACTCTCTGAGCCAGAGAGCCCCAACTGAAGAAAACGCTTTCTTCCCTGGAGCTGGAACTTGTCTCTTCGCTGCTCCGACCGGGCCTGGCTCACACTCCGCCAGTCAGCTGTTTGCTTGACATGTCGTCCTAATGGCTGCTCTAGCTACCGCCTATCGTGTGCTCATTCTGTGCTAAGCCAGAACCTCCCACACTTCAATTCTGTTCTGTCTCCATGCTGTTTGTCATATCCACACTCCTCCTGCATATAATGTTTTACTTAATGCTTTCCTTCAATGCACTCCCCTTTCCTACATGGCCTTGTCCTAAGCAATAATCTGTGAAATCACAGGCTTGATTGGTTAAAATTTTCCCCAAATACACATAAAATTAATCAAGTCCACCCTCAAGTCACCTTGGGAACCACACTGTCCTCGATGCTTCACACACATCGCCTTGCAGGGAGGCAAGGAGAATGACCACCATTTGGGATAGGACAGTGGTCGGCAAACTCATTGGTCAACAGAGCCAACTATCAACAGTACGACGATTGAAATTTCTTTTGAGAGCCAAATTTTTTAAACTTAATCTTCTTCTAATGCCACTTCTTCAAAGTAGACTTGCCCAGGCAGCGATATTTTGTGGAAGAGCCACACTCAAGGGCCCAAAGAGCCGCATGTGGCTCGCGAGCCGCAGTTTGCCGACCACTGAGATAGGGGAACACCGAAGGTCAGAGAGGTAAAGCAACTTGTCCCATCCCACACAGCTAAGATGTGGTGGCTCCAGACTCACATCCAGGTCCGTCAGAGTCTAGAACCTACATCCTTCATAATAAGGCTAAAGGGATCTGAGGATTGGGATCCCGATCGAGTTTTGTCTCCTCAAACCCCTCTCTCTCCCGGCCCGCACAGCTTACCTGGCCAGCAGCAAGACGGGGATGCCCAGCATGGACAGCAGGGTGTGCTGGGGGGAGAGGCCAGCCTGGGTGAGGCCCAGGTAGGACAATGCCCCCAGTAGCCCTGCTCCCCCGGTACCTGAGGACCACCAGGAGATCACAGCCCTGAGAAGGAGAAACTGAGGCACTAAGAAGGACCAAAGTCAGCAGGGGACCTCCTCTGCCTGCTCCCTGCTCCCCGCCTGCTTACCTCGGGTAGAAGGCGGTGAGTGCGAGGAAGGTGACCTCCCCCAGGCCTGATGAGATGCTAGCCAAGACCACACCTGGAGGGACAACAAGCATGACAGTGGCCATACTTAGCCATCCCCTACCCCAGGCCCTGGAGGTGTCTGACCATGGCCTCCTCTGCATCAGTTCAGAGGGGCTAGAAATGGATCCCTGGATGGGCGGGGCTCCGGATCTGAAGCAGAACCATAGCCTCCTCCGAGTCCCTCTCACAGGGAATGAATGGCACTACCACCCACCGTTATTAAACCAGGAGCAAAAACTCATCCTGGATGCCTCCTCTGCCCGTGATGGAGCCCGGGTTCCTCTGCCCATCTCATCTCCATCTCCATCTAATCCACCATTTCCTCCCATGTCCCCCACCACCTACGCCTCCAAACTGACCTCATCTCCCGTTCTCTACTTAGCAGACCTAGCAGCTTCTGAGGGTTACAAACAGAATCTCTTTCCTTTGCGGAGTTGGGGTGACTGCTCCCACAAATGCTCTGTTGCAGTTCTTCTGAGTCCCCCACCCGATATAAAACCTCATGCTCACCACACAGGCTGACCGGCACCGAGCGGGAAAACGCGATCAGGATGAAGCTTCCAGCCGCACAAAACCCACTGCAGAGAACCCGGGGGCTGAGGGAGAGGGGCGGGACGGGCAAGGTCAGCTTCGGCTCTCACCGCCTTTGCCCTCCAAGCTCCTCACAGCGTCCAGCCGCCCCTCCTCCGGTCCCCTGCCCCCACCTGTAGGGCAGCAGATGAAGGCCGAAGGGAGCCAGCAATTTGATGACGAGTGTGGGGAGGATGTCTGCCAGGAGCACCGCCTGGGACAGGAGGACAGAGTGAGATCCCAGACCTTCCCTGGGACAGACCTCTGAACCAAGGGGCCAAGGAGACCTGCGACAGGCTCTGAATTTAGATCTGGGTTCAAGTCCCAGCTCTGCCACTCCTTAGCTGTGGGGTCAAGGCATTCACTTTCTCTGACTCCAGTTTGCTCATCTGGAAAATGGGGGATGGTTACAGTGCCTAGCTCACAGTACTGCTATGTGGATGCAACGAGCCAATATTAGCTACACACAGAAAGGGCTCAGGGAATGGCAGTCTTAATGGTCGTAATTAGGACAGTCCCAGCTGGATGCTGAGGGGTCAGGGGAGGACCAGATGGGTACTCACAGCTGTGGAGACAGGGTTGCAGTCAAAGCGAGATGATTTATTGTGGGGGCCTGGGCCTACCTGATGGGAAAGAAGGAAGTGTTTCACCCCGGGAGGCAAGAGCGTAGTCTCCGCTCTGCTCTGACCCGAAGGATGGCCTTGAGTCGGCTCTGGCCTCCTGGACCTCAGCTTCTCTGTGTGCACAATGGGGAGGAGGAGGTTTCCATAGAAGGACCCACTGGCCAAAGGTGGCCCCGTAAACAGACTTTATTTGGGTGACACGTTCAGGACCTTTCATGAAAGAATGTGGGTTTCCATAAAATCTGATCTTGAGCCAGCTTCCTTGTTGGACCTGCAAGCTGGCAGCTTCCCCCCTTGGGCATGCGCCCTCGAGATGCTCACAGACAAGAGGTCCTTAACCAGAGGTGATCACATCCCACGGGAGCATTTGGCAGCGTCTGGAGACGCTCCTGATTGTCACAACTGGGGGGCAGAGGGTGCTATCGGCATCTGGCAACGAGGCTAGGGACGCTGCTGAAGATCCCACAACGCACAGGACAGGCCATGACCAAGAATGATCCAGCCCAAATGTTAACAGTGTGAGGGTTAAGAATCTGCCATAGACCATGGTCCTACCCAGCCAACACCTGAGTTTGTTCACCTGGCACCAACTGATTTCTAAAGACCCTTCCTGCTCTGAGATCGGGGCGGCTGGGAACTTCAGCCCCTGGCCCCACCCCTTGAGCTACCCTTGTATGAGTGTTTCCAGGGAGCTTCTGCCCCAGGGAGAGTCCCGCATCTCTTCCCACCGTGTGAAGGTGGAGGGTCACTTACATGGCTTTGGTTTCCAGACTCCTTCTGGTGGCTGAGGATGTCATGAGCAGCGCTGAGCATCACCACATAAGAGAAGTTGTTGCAAAGGCCCAAGATCCTGGAGTGAGTAGGACAGAGCACCCCCGATTTTAAAAAAATATATATATTTTATTGATTTTGTACAGAGAGGAAGGGAGAGAGATAGAAAGCTACAAACATCGATGAGAGAGAGTCATCGATCAGCTGCCTCTTGCACACCCCCCACTGGGGATATGCCCGCAACCAAGGTACAAGCCCTTGACCGGAATCGAACCCGGGTCCCTTCAGTCCCCAAGCTGACTCTCTATCCATTGAGCCAAACCGGTTTCGGCGAGCACCCCCAATTTATTGGGATATAACTGACATATTAGGACAGATTTTCACCTCCTTTCAGACCTGCAATCTAACCGCAGCCCTAGCATCTATCCGCTTTGGGATCACAGACTTGGGTTCACATCTAATCTCCCAGACTCCCCTCAGGAAGAGGAGAGAGTCATCCTTGATGACTGTTCCTCTGAGCTCCCACCGGCTCCTGGGGCAGTTCTCACCCACGGAGCCCGTCTCGGATGTGCTGGGGGTCAGTACAAAGTTCGTGGGGCTTGAAACCAAAGAACTACCGTATTTTTCGGACCATAAGACGCACTTTTTCCCCCCCAGAAGTGGGGGGAAAAAGTCCCTGCGTCTTATGGTCCAAATATAGCCTACACATATACTTTAAAAAAAAAGTTTTTTTACTTGCCCGGCTCTGTGTGGTCTCTGTGTGCTTGCCCGGCTCTAAAATGGTTCTAAATGCTGCTGTTTACTTTACAGGGTTGATTACATGTGTTTATGACTGTGATTTTGGGTTTTAATGCACATAAAATATTTTAGGACACTATTTGTTTCAGAATCTTTTTTTCTTCATTTCCCTTCTCTAAAAACTGGTGCGTCTTATGGTCCGGAGCGTCTTATGGTCCGAAAAATACGGTATATACAGGCCCAAAGTTTGCTGCTTCCTATTTGAACGGTTTTGGCCTACTCATGTGTCAAGTGGGGGTACACAGTTCCCTTCCACCTGTCGGAGTTGCAGAAGGGCCAAAACAAGATAATACCAAAGCCCCTATTATCCATGAAGGATCTTGTTTGCATACGTTCACCTCCCAGAGGAGCTCTCAGTGATGAGAATGGAACGGGGTGCAGCACCAGAGAATTCATGTGTCCTTTACACAAGCCCATGAAGGGGGACTATTGCTCTTCCCATTTCACTGCTGAGAAACTGAGACTCAGAGAGGCATGTGACTGGATTACATGGGAAGCCACTTCCAACCCAATCTGCCACCCAAGTCCTCGATGTTTAAGTTGGTGCTAGGAGTATTCTTCAGTACTTAAAGTAATTTTAGGAGGTGGATGGATGATCTTTTTAAAAATATATATATTTTATTGATTTTTTTTACAGAGAGGGAGGGAGAGGGATAGAGAAACATCGATCAGCTGCTTCCTGTACACTCCATGCTGGGGATGTGCCCGAAACCAAGGTACATGCCCTTGACCAGAATCAAACCTGGGACCCTTGAGTCCACAGGGGGATGCTCTATCCACTGAGCCAAACTGGTTAGGGTGATGGACGATCTTTTATTTTTTTATTTATTTTTATTTTTATTTTTTTAATAAAAAATATATTTTATTGATTTTGTACAGAGAGAAAGGGAGAGAGATACAGAGTTAGAAACATGGATGAGAGAGTCATCGATCAGCTGCCTCTTGCACACCCCCTACTGGGGATATGCCCGCAACCAAGGTACATGCCCTTGACCAGACCCGGGACCCCTCAGTCCCCAAGCCGATGCTCTATCCACTGAGCCAAACCGGTTTCAGCGATCTTTTAAAAAGTGCTCAGCCCTTGTGGCTTGAGTGTTGAGTGTTGACCCATGAAACAAGAGGTCACAGGTTTGATTCCTGGTCAGGGCTCATGCCTGGGTTGCAGGCTCAATCCCCAGTAGGGGACATGCAGGAGGCAGTTGATTGATGATGTTTCTATCTCTCTTCCTCTCCCTTCCACTCTCTCCAAAAATCAATAAAAAATTTGTTAAAAAAAAGTATTGATGTACTTATTTAAGTGTGCATTAGGGAAATGTTGGCTTTCTATAGTGTAGTGATTTAAAGTTTTCTTTAATAAAACACATATATTGCCCTGGCCGGTTTTGCTCAGTGGTTAGATGTCGGCCCACAGAGGGAAGCCCAGACCCAGTAGGGGTGAGTGAGGGAGGCAACCAAGCTGTGTGTCTCCAACCAAGCTGTGTGTCAAGCTCCATGCTTTTCTCTCTCTCCCCCTTCTCCCTCCCTTCCGCCCTCTCTATAAACCAATGGGAAAAACATCCCCAGATAAGGCTGAACCCCTCTCCCCCCATGTATATTTATGGATTTAAAGGCTTAATTGTTTGGAATAAAAACAAGTAAATAATCCCACAGGTGGTATGAGGATCGGGCCAAAATGTGAAGGTGATTAAATTTGGGAAAGTTACACATCGCCTCAGGCCAAACCAGGTGGTTCAGTAACTATTGGTGGGCTCAGCTCCTTTTTCAGCCCTTTACTTCCCTCTCCCTCAGGTGGCCTCCCTCCTCCCACCCATTTCACTTCTGTTGCACTCTGCAGGCCACTCACCAGAAGCCAACCACGTTCTTCCAATGGGCGCCCCGCCGGTCCTGAGGGGGCCGCGGTTCCTCAGATTCCTGGGAGATCAACTCTCCTGGGAGGGCGAGAAGAAGGCCTGACCCCAGCCCTCTCCGGGGTCCAGGGACCCCCCCGGGCGTCCTCCCGGGTGGCGCCTGCTCCGGAGCCGCCTGCCAGGTGGCCCCGGGCCAGAGGCAGCCCCTCCAGGGAGGGGGCCCTCCTACTCACCCTCGGAATCGGAAAGGCGTCGCAGCGAGCCCGCAGAGCCTCCCATGGCATCAGGGTCCGGCTCCCCCGGGGCCCGCAGTCGGCGAACGTTCCGAGTGGGCTCGGATGGAACGGGACGGCGAGTGTCTGTGACAGATGGGAGGGGTCGACGCCCCACTGCTGGTCCCAGCTGCGCTTCTCGGCTGCGCTCGCGCCCCCCGCCATCCACTCCGCGAAGCCGGGGACCCACCTCCCGGTCCCTCACGCCCCATCCGCCGGACTCTGCCCCCGGCCCTCGAAAGCGGGGTGGGGGTGTGTGGAGGGGAAGTCTCCGTAGCCTGTACCTTTAAGAGCAGCTGAACATTCCGCACCTAGGAGACGCTGGTCGGCTGGTCACGTGACAGCACCAGCGGGTTCCTCCATCACGTGCTCGGAGAGCCTCCCTCACTTCCGGGTTTCCTCTCTGGCTTCGCCTCAGGCCTTGCCAGCTTCGGGGCGTGGCGCCCAGAGAGGCCAGGAGAACCCGGGGACCGCTGGCTTAAACCTGGGGTGGGTGGGACCGGCAAGAAGAGCCCCGACGTGAGCCTGATGGCGCCCCGAGCCGCGGCGGGCGTGGTGCCAACACTAATCATGGCGGGAAGCGGCTTCAGCGCCCGCCTCCCTCGTTTGCCAAAAACAAATATGGCCACCTGGCTGCTCAGGCCAGTCGCGACTGATTCTGGCTGGGAGCAAAGACGGACAGCTTCAGGCCCTTTTTAATTTCTTTCCGCGGTCCTGACATTGCTTTAGAGGCGGAATGCAAAGGGAACACCCGCCTAAGAGGATTTCATGAATGATTATTGGCGGTATCCAAGGCGTTAGGAGGTCCTTTTACCAAATCATTCTAGAACCAAAGAATGTCACAGACGTCCAACCCCCGGTTTTACAGATGAGAAAACAACAACAACAAAAGGAAAGTTCCTGATGATCATACCAAGTTAGAAAGGTGACGGTAGGAGAGCACCAGGGGCCGGTGCTGGCTGAGCAGGCTGCTGCCGATTCCTGCCTGCACCTAGGGAACTGAGACCAGATAGTTCTAAAGCCCAGAGTTCTTACTCTGTGACCTCATCGCCTTTATCTACTAGAAACGGAGGAAGTGGGGCTTCAGAAGCGGATTAGAGGAAGAGGTGTTGATCAATGTCACTTCACAGAGTCCCACATAAGGAGTGGATTCTCTCACCTTTCTCAGGTGGTCAAGAAGCATTCTGCTATTCCTTCATCACCTCCTTCCCCTGCTAGTATCTCCTGTGGGCTTCCAATAGCTGGTGCCAGCTCTTTCTCACAACCAGGCCGTCAGACTGCTGTTAGAAATATGCTCCTTTTGGTCTTCCCAGGTCACTCAACCAATGAAAAATGGGCTTCTGTACCCATGCAGGGTTCCAGAAACTCATCAGTGTGTCTTACACGGCCTCTTTCCTCAAGGAACTCACAGGAGGGTGGGAGGCAGACACAACCACAGGACAAAACCTAGCCAAGTTTTGTTTCACAAGAGTGACTACAGATTAGGGAACAGCACTGAAGCGGCCATTCCAGCCCCTTTTTCCCCTTGGGGAAGCATTAATGACCCTGAAATGAGAAGCCATAGCTCTTATCAGCCCCCTACTCACTCCCACTCCTTGTCCCCAAGCGAAACAGGAACCACAAACCCCAGCTTCCTCTCACAAAGTGGCTGTGGCTTGTGGGGAGACGGAAATGGCTGAGGTGTAAATACAAGACCTGAGTCACTAGAGCTGCAGTTGCCACACGCACCCTCCCCCACCCCCAATTTTGAGGTGCCCTGCTCCCATTTTTCCCCCTTTCTGGCTTCCTCCTTTGCCCTTCAGCTCCAAATATGCACCTGAGTTCCCTGTGGGGTGCACACCTATTTCCCAGCCTGGGCTGGAAGCTGCTGTGGGCATTGCGGAGGTGGGTAGGGCCTGGGGTAAGGATACGTCAGGGGGAAACAGGGGAAGAGGAAGTGCTTGGGTCCTGGGGAAGACTGGCTTGTCTTGGTGGGTGGGGACGGTCATTGTCAGCTTTCTGGACACACAGAGACAGACAGGATGGATTTCCTCCGGCTGCACCTCCCTGGGCTGCACCAGGCCTTGAGGGGGACACTGGTGAGAGGGGCAAAGAGATGCCAGGGACTTACCCCCTGCTCCCCGGGACCTCGCCTTCCCTCCTCCCTTTGAGTCTCTCAGACTTGAGGTTTCTTCCCTATGATAAGGCAGCCTCTAACCCAATCTTTTCTGGATTTCAATCCTCCCACCCCCACAAACCTATCCACATACCCCCATCTAGGCCCTTTCCTATTCCTTCTGCCGATCCTGTTGTCCTTCTCCCAGACCCAGAACCCCTCCTCCTATTCTGAGTTCCCCTGGCCCAGGGCCCCCAAGAGAGAGCTGGACCTTCTCTTAATGCTCTTGTCTCCCCCTCTCCCCATTCTTCTAGGAATCCTTCAGCACCTTTGTCTCCTACCTTTTGGGAGATGAGGTCCCCACTGTAGAGAGGAGGGAGGCATGGGCAGCTGAGGAACGGGGGGAGGTGGCTCCAGGAAGAAGTGTAGAGGAGGAAGCCCCGGAGGCTCTGGAGGGTGTGGGAGGCAGCCAAAGCAAGGGGGGCGGAGGACCGAGAGGGCCTGGAGAGGCTAGAAGACACCAGGAGGGAAGCTCAGCTACAGAACAGACCTGGAGTTGGGGAGAAGGCAGCTCCCATGGGTCTCAAGGAGATAGGCAGGACACTGGGGCATGGGAGGCAGCCAAGGCCTCCAGGTGCCAGGAGCCAAGTGCCCTCTTGGAGGCCAGAAAGAAGTCTGACGCAGGGTCTGAGACTGGCTCAGCCCAGGAGAGTCAGGAGTGCAATGAGCAGGAAGTGAACAGAGAAGAGATACCCAGAACCTGGGAACAGGAGGAGGAGGAGGAGGAGGAAGAGGTTAGGGCCAGAGAGCCAGGGGGGGTCAGAGGGGTGGAGTCAGAGTGGACCGGGCGTATGGAGCCTGAGGGAAAGGCTGGTGCCCATGGGCACAGGGCGGCAGGGGATGGCAGGGAGTCAGAACAGGCAGTCAAGGCAGTTGCAGAGGAGATCCAGGGAGCTGGGGCCAAAGAGACCGGGAGGGAAGAGGTGGTGGCCGAGGAGCGGGATAGCCAAAGCACAGAGGCACAGGGGACTCAGGACCCAGGGGCAGCATCTGAGGATGGGGCAACCTTGGGCAGAGAGGAGGTCAGGACAACCTCAGGAAGGGAGGAGGCCTGGACAATCTCAGGTGAGGAGGCTGAGACAGCCTCGGATGAGGAGAAGGCTGGGACAACCTCAAGAAGGGAGGAGGCCTGGACAGCCTCAGGAGGGGAGGAGGGTGGGACAGCCTCGGGAGGGGAGGAGGCTGGGATAGCCTCAGATGGGGAGGAGGCTGGAACAGCCTCAGGAGGGGAGGAGGGTGGGACAGCCTCAGATGGGGAGGAGGCTGGAACAGCCTCAGGTGAGGAGGTGGCTGACTTCCCAGGAGTGAGGGAGACAGAAAATGGGGCAGCCCCAGGAGACAGGAGTCTAGAATGTACAGGGAGAGTCTGGGCCCTAGAAGAGGCCTCCAGGGGAGCCCAGAAGGAGGAGGTGGGTGGAAATAGAGAGGCTGAGGTGAGTCTGTCCCTGAAACAGACTCAGGCCCTGGGAGAAATGGCTGAGGTCCAGACAGCAGGGAAGGAGAGCGCGGAAGGCCAGGGGTCGGAGTGGGGGACAGGGGAGGGCTCGGAGGGTCAGGCAGATCAGGATGGGAAAGAGGCCAAGGGAAGGCAAGACTCAGAGATCACAGCTGCTCAAGCCGGCTTGGAGGAAGCAGCGCCGGCACAGGAGGCCGAGGAGGAGAAAGAGAGCCGCTGGGCCCCAGAGGCTGAGCTCTCCCGGGACAAAGGCACAAACAAGGCTGAAGGTGATGCTGACTGGGAGGCGACCCCAAAGGCCACACCTGAAAAGGAGTTGAGGGAGAGGAGTGAGGAGGGAGCTCAGGTGGGTAGAGAAGAATTTGGGGTAGAGGGTGGTGGCCCAGAGCACAAGGTCACTGATGTTTGGGATGTTGAGCAGATAGGAGGGCCCCACACCCCAGAGGGACCACCTGGGGAAGGACAGCAGGCGAAGGGAGAGCTCTGGAGCACCCCAGCCCAGAGCAAAGAGGAGGCAGGAAGGAGCCTGGAGGCCAGTCCCAGGCCCGCGAGCTCTGGAAGGCCTGATGCAGAAGCCGGGGAAAGCCGGAGAAAAAGGGATGTGCAGAGAGGGAATTCGCAGGAGGAAAATGTAGGTATGGAAGAGGAGGAGGGGGAGGCTGCAGGAGGCCAGGAATCTGCACTGCCACGGGCCCTGGAGGCAGGCGGGGAGTGGAAGGAAGCAGGGCATGGACTGGACAGCCAGGAGCTGGGCGGAAGGCACGGGGCAGAGTTAGGGACAGGCTGGTCCCTGGGAGAGTCAGAAGCCAGAGAAACCAATGACGAGGAGGTGGGGGCTGCAGGGTCCTGGGAAGCAGAGGGAGCACCCAGCAGAATCTGGAGGCTGGAGGAGGCAGCGCCGAGCTCCTGGGACAGTGAGGACACACAGGCCTGCTCCTCGGCTGCTGGCTCTGTGGCTCAGAAGGCAGCTGCGGATGGAAGGGCTGCTGGGACTGGGGAAGGGCCTGAAGGAGGGGCAGGGGAAGCGTGGGATGGGGCATTTGGAAGGGGCTGGGACTCAGAAGGAAGTGAGGAAGCTGGCAGAGGTGCAGAGGTGATGGAGGCTGCAGAGGGAGAGAGCAGAGGCGGGCAAGAACTTGGCCTGGATGGCTCCTCAGAGGAGGAGGTTACTGGCAGAGGTGGCCAAGTGGAGGCTTTTGAGGCTGGGGAGAGTGAGCCAGGGCGGGAGTGGGCGGAGGCTGGGGATACGGTAGCGGCTGAAGGAAGCTGTGGGGTGGGTGGCTTCACCTCAGGCTCCCAGGCGGTGAGGGCAGAGGGGACCCCAGTCATAGTGGAGGCCAACGGGTTCCCAGAAGGGCAGATGCTGTCAGAAACAGAGGCTGGGGCATGGGAGGCGAGGCGGCAGGGGCGAGGCAGCGAGGGGCAGCATGGGGACCAGGGCCCTGAGGGAGAGGCACAGATGCCCTGTGACACGGACATGGAGGGGAGTGGACACCAGAGGGCAGAGGCCAAGGAGCTGGATGCAGAAGACCTGCAGGACGTCCAGGGCCAGGAGGACCAGCCAGCAAACCGGGGCCCTGGGCCATGCGAAGAGGCTGCCAGAGGGGATGTGCACGGCAGCTGGAGTGAGGTAAGGGCTACAGGAAGGGTCTAGAGCCAAATGGACCAGAGTCCGGAAGCCAGCCCCATACTACCTAGTGCTCCCTCCCTGCAGGCCCTTCTCCCCGTGTCTCGCCTGGATGTCTCTGTCCCGCGGAGCCGTGTGCTCCTGTCCCGCAGCTCCTCACAGCGCCGCTCCAGGCCCTCTTTCCGGCGCATCCCCACCCTGGAGCAGCAGCAGGAGCCTGCCAGCCCCCCGCCGCCGCCGGAGGAAGAGCTGCCAGCGCCTGAGCAGAGACCCCTCCACCCAGCGGAACCCCCAGAGCCAAGCCTCCCTAGGCCTGAAGGGACCCCGGTGCCAGCGAGGAGGAGGCCCCTGGGACAAGGGTAAGCGCTGGGTGAAGTGACTGGGCTGGGCTGGGCTGGGCAGGAGGCTCTGGACACTGGAGACCAGCTTCCGGCCTGTCTTCCGTCTCCAGGTTTGGCTTTGCACACCCCGGCATGATGCAGGAACTGCAGGCCAGACTGGGCCGGCCAAAGCCCCAGTGACGGCACCGCGACCCGGGAGCCAGGCCCTGAGCGAGAGGCGGAGGGCTCGACTGAACTCGGCCACTTGGATGCACCCTGTCCACCCTCTGGGCCCCAGTTTCTTGCCGTTTCATCCACGGTGCAGACTGAACCAGACATCTTGGAGAATCACGAACTTAAGGAATCTGACTGGTCAATGCAGCTGGTGGACTGCCTGCCCCACGGGGACCACCGTTCACAGCCTGTCCTGACTACCTCCCAGCCGGTCTTGGCAGCTGTCTGGAGGCCTGAGAGGGGACAGAGACAGTCTCCCACAGCCTTCCCTCTCCGATTGCCCCCACTCCCCCAGCTGCTCCCCAAGGCCGCGGAGAGCTGTGGGAGGCAGGCAAACCTCTGGGCTGGATGGCAGCGGGGAGGAAAGGGGCTGGGAGAGCCTATGGAACTCCATTTACAATCAAAGGTTTGATGTAAGCGGACCAGCCACCTTATAGTTCCAACATGGGAACTCAGCCTCAAAACTCTGCTGGTTACTGTGGTAACCACCAGCTGAGCAAGCCAGAGTGGAGAAAGGTGGGCCAGGAACCCTGACATGTAGGAGCAGAAAGGGGTCCAGGGTGACCAGAGGCTGCCGAGCCCACTCTGTGCCCTCTTTGGGTATCAGACACCCCTTCTCTGAAAAGAAGCGGAGGCAGAGAGAGGGTGAGAGTGCTTTATTAGGCACCCAGAATGGCAGCCTAGCCGAGGACAGCCAGCAGGTCCTGATACAATAAATAAACCATCGTTTCCCTGAGCAATAAATAAATATCCATGAAATAAATACCCAGCAAGGACTGGAGGGGCCTTAAGTTATTGGGTAGGGTCTGGGGAGAGGGCAGTGGTGCCCTGCCTTGTCTAAGGCAGGGAGCTGGTGGCTGTCCTGTTGGCCCAGACTCGTCGTAAAGTTCTAACTGGTGAGGGAAGGGGCTGAGAAATCACTCCATCAGGACTGGGAGCCGGCCAGCGGTGGGCACCCCAAGGCCTGGCCTGGGTTCTTGGCCTGGGAGAGCAGCAGTAAGTCCCGCACAGCCCGCGACAAGACCAGCTCCAAGGAGTGCAGCAACCGGTAGGCGTAGAGGAGCTGCGGCCAGGACATCCGGGCTGACTTCTGTGAGGGGCCGTCCAGGGCCCCCGGGAGCAGCCCCTTTCCCTCCTCGTTCTCCTCCTCGGGGGGGTTGAATCCTGCAGCCAGCACCTGTGAGGAGAGGCCCATGGTCAGGGTATGGTCCAGCTGAGAGGCTAAGCGAATCCGTGCCTAGTGGTGCCCCATGACGTCAGAAACCATAGTCATGATTTCCCTGGACAGCCCCTACTTCAGATCTTCCATTATGTCATCACCTCATGTATCCTGTCTGGTTTTTTTTTTGCTTCAAGAAAATGAAAGTTACAGAGCAAACTGGTGCTCAAGGAGGGAGCTGGCTCCCTCATCCAGGATTGCTCTGGGCATTTGGGATTCTGGAAATTCCCCTCTTAAGAGGCATCTTAGGATCAGAAATGGGCAGAAAGGTGATATAGCTGGTCTTTCTGCTGCTTGCGTTTTCGATTCTCCTTTTAATAAAGGTAAAATTCTTATTTCCCTGTGTTATGCGCAGCAGGACCTGATGATGTCAGAGGATGACAGGGAGAAGGGAACCAGCTTTATGGTTGGTCCTGCTGGTGTGGGATGCTGTGCTGGGTGCTTCAGAGCTGCTCTCTCGTTTAAGACCAAGACCCCAAGAGATTTAGGTAGAGCCAGCACCTGGTGCAGCTACACACACACACACACACACACACACACACACACACATCCTTCAATATACACACTTGGAGGAACTGGAGTATCTCCCTTCAGATTTACCCCACCTGTGGGCATAGGGGCATTTTTAAAAGGGAGCCAATGAAGGTGGTCTCTGGGGGTCAAGGAGGGTGGGCGGGTTCTCTACCTGGAAGCGAAGATGCCGCTGCAGATCTCGGAGATCCAGCCTCATGGCCCACAGCTGTATTCTCTCTGAGCTGGTCCACCTCCCCTGGGTCCCCAGCCCTCCCAATAGGGCTTGAAAGGGGCGAAGTGTCATGGAGAGGAAGAACAGTCGCTCCGATCCCTGTGGAAGCAGAGACCCTTCAGTCAGAAAAGGTCCACAGGGCAAGAATGACCCACGTCAAGCCCAACCTCATGTCTCTCTGGGTCCCAACCCAAACTCCACCTGAATATCTGTTCTCATCCTCAACTTCATCTCCTCCACTCCTTCCCTTCCCTTCACTCATCACCATTCTAGTCTCCGCTGTCTTTGACCTCTCTCCTCTCTCCTTTCCCAACCTCACTTTCAGTTGCATGCACGAACTCATATCTCACAACAACCCCATCTCCATGATCTTATCACGCTTTATCCATACACCCATTTTATTCCTTTCTTCACCATCCCATCCTACCTCCAGCTCCTCAGTTGTTTTCAGTCTGTCTACAACCTCTTTCCTATCCTTACTCCCATTCCTATTCCCAATTAGATTCCTCAACCATATGTCCAGACTCATTCTCTCTATTCCATCTCCAACTCCATCCCAACTCCATTTCATTCCCAGCCACACCAGTAATCCATACCCCTTCTCATCCCAACCTTCTTCCAACCTCTCCCCATTCTCATCCCTCCTCCATACTAATTTCTATCACTAATCTCATTCCATTCCCACCCCCACCTCTTTCCATGCCCAACTTCACTCGTACATTCTTCTTAACTCCATTTCTTTTAAAAAAAATATATTTTTATTGATTTTTTTTTTTTACAGAAAGGGAGAGAGGTAGAGAGTTAGAAACATCGATGTGAGAGAAATATCGATCAGCTGCCTTCTGCACACCCCTTACTGGGGATGTGCCAGCAACCAAGGTATATGCCCTTGACTGGAATTGAACCCTGGACCTTTCAGTCCGCAGGCCGACGTTCTATCCACTGAGCCAAACCGGCTTTGGCTAACTCCATTTCTTTATTTAGCTTCATCTTTATAGCCAATGACATACTCAACCTCATCCAGATTCTATCCTTCAATTTATCCCCAAATCTATCTTCAGTTCAATCCCTGACTTCATTTCTACCCACACAGCCCAGCTTTATTGCCAGCTCACTCCCCCCACCCCATCTCCCACAACCTCCCCCACTCACAGAGAGGCTGCACCAGGCCTGGAAGGTCAGGGAAACATTGGGGAGCTGCTGTCCCAGGGGCAGGAGGTCCAGGTTCACTCCTGGCAGGTGAGCTTCAGCCTGTAGGGCAAGGTGTGTTAGTGGGGGCCAGATGGGAGTGAGTATCTGCCCATCCCCAGAGCCAGTTGCGTTAGGGAAACTCACAAAGCGGTGGGTGTGGGCCTGAACTTCGGACAGCAGCTTCCTGGCAAGATGCAGGCTGACCTTGAACTCCCCCTCTAGGCTCAGGGGGAGTCTCCCTGGGGGCCTTGGAAATCCCCAGACACCAGCTCGAGCCAGGAGCAAGGAGAGCAGCAAAAGGCCAAGCCCTGGAGAGATGGGGAGAGGGTGGGCAAAATGAGGGGAGAGCTTGAGGAGAACTTGAGCCAAGGGAGAACTCAAGAGAAGGAGCCTTTTCTAAGCCTGTGCTATGGGCCTGTGTATCATCTCACTGAACCCTCAAAACCGCTAGTGAGATGGAAGCTACTGAAGACACCATATGGCACATCAGAGTGACTGAAAGGCAAGTGCCCTCTACCCCAGGCAGACACAGCCTCTCACAGCCCCCACTCACTCCCTTGGCCAAGTGAACTAACTGCACAACTCAGTGTGGCAGCCTGGGAGCCATTCTTCCCATTTAGCATACGAGGAAAGTGAGGCTCAGAGACAGGGACTTGCCAAGGTACAGAGTCAGAGGGTGAGGGAATCAGGACTGCACTCTGGATCTGTCCAAATGCAGACCCTGTGAGGGCCCCCCCCCCCCCCCCCCCGGGATCTGAGAGCAGGCACCACCTCCCCTGGGGCAGGCACACACTGTTCTGCCAAGGATTCCTCGGGCTTGGCCAGGTGGCTCTGATGGCCCCACTTAGGGCCCCGAGGGGCTGGCACTGCTGGAGGCTCTATCCCAGGGAGTCAGAGGGCAGACTGATCCAGTCGCGACCAAGGCAAGTGGGTCACTCTGCAGTGAGGGAGGAACAGGGGTGCTGGGAGAGGGAGGAGGCCTGGAATGGGAGGCAGAGCCTGTTTCTCGTTTGGATTCTTCCCTTGAGCAAGTGACTTCTTATTTCTGTGCCTCAGGCTCCGTCTGTAAAACCTGAAAGTGCTTCCTGTCCCGTGTTTCCTGAGCAAAAGGAAGAGGCAAGATGGGGCCGGAGCTCTGGGAAGAGAGCAGTGTTTAGCGGTTTCTCCCTCAGGGAGAGGAAACGTAGCAATCACTGGGTTACACAATTCTCCTCGAAACACAAACCAAAAGAGTCCCTAAGTCTGTTCCTGCTCACCCCCCTCTCCCTGCCTCTTCCCTGTCTGTTCTTGATCTCTCACCCTGGGCTTTGCTCCTCGAAATGTCCTCTCCATAAAGACCCTGGGGAGTTTCTGGGTACATCCACTTCCCCCATGGACCTCCAGAGTGGATGGGCAGTGTCTGGCTCTCTAATTTCCAGGCTCCCTAACTTGGGGCCCACTCTGATCTCCTGGAGACTTTGGGCAGAGTGGGTTCTTCCCAGATCTGTGTTGAGGGAGAGGGGTGCCCAGACTGGTGGATATTATGTCATTTCTTACTGACCCTCCACTTCCTGCCTGAGCTCTGGAGCCCCCAGTCCCTTCCCTTGGCAGACAGTCCTGGTCCTTGAAGGTTCTGTCCCCATCCTTTAGTCCTTGGTCCCTACTCTGACTCTACTGTCTGCTCTGGTCCCGGCCTCTGAATCCTTCAGTCTCCAACTGCAGACTCCTCCCAGGGTTTGAACTACAGACCCTTGACCAAGTTAGGCTGCTGACTCCTTGGCCACAGCCCCTGACTCATGGCAACTCTTCCTGCTGTTCTTCCTCTAGCTGGATCCAATGCCCAGCCAAGCTGTCTGGCCTTTGCTCATTCACTCCAACCCAACTCTTCATTTATCTGCCAGGTCTTGGTTCTGGTCCACCTGCCTGTCCAACTCTCTCCATCCATGCCAACCAAACTGTCTCCTCCTCCCTCTATCCAGTCCCGGCTGAACCACCACCTGACTGTCCAACTCCTCTTTTCCATTCACGCCGGCCTCATTCCTATCTTTTTTTTTTTAATTTAATATATATATGTTTATTGATATCTTTATTGATTTCAGAGAGGAAAAGAGAAGGAGAGAAAGATAGAAACATCAATGATGAGAAAGAATCATTGATCAGCAGCCTCTTGCACATCCCCAACTGGGGATTGAGCCCGCAACCCAGCATGTGCCCTTAGCCAGAATCGAACCCGGGACCCTTCAGTCTGCAGGCTGACGCTCTATCCACTGAGCCAAGCCAGCTAGGACCCTCCTTCCTATCCTTAGTCCCTGCCAAATACTAGTAGCCCCTCAGCCCCTCACCCCCATCCACACCAGTCAAACTCTCCCATCCTCTGCCCAATCTCAGCCAAGCCTCCCACCCCTGTCCCCCAGCCCTGGCCTCAAACTCACGCCAGCCAAGGTCGCCTGCCTTCTGGCCCATGGCAGGGCCCAGCCTCTTTGGCCAGCCATCTCCGGGCCGGGGGAGTCTTATACTGGGGGCTGTGCCCAGTTTCACTTTCCGTGCTGCTTGTACTTTCAGCTTTGCTTTAACTCACTCTTCCCTCCTCACCACCCCTTGC